GGGGGGGGGGTGGACTAGATGACCCTAAAGGTCCTTCCCAACGCTGTCTATGAATCTATGATGAAGCTCCTCGCGCAGCCAGAAAGCTTCCCCCCTGCCCCAGCCCAGCGAACAGCAACACAGCCCGCAGGTACGGGGTTTTGTGTTTTTATTTAAATCCAGTTACAGCAAAATACAGGGTGGCAGTACAGAGAGCAGCACTCCAGAGAGGTAACGCTCGCTCTGTGCGTCTGACACCGTTGTCTCACTTCCCTGCGCCTCTGCTGATTGCATCCCGTGAGGCCGGCGCAACATGTAGTGCGAAGGGCTGGCATTGCTGGCGGCCGAGGAGAGGCCACCGGGTAAAGAAGCTGCCCCAAACCCCAAAAGTCACCACACACTCTACATTTACAAAAAGTTACCCGAAATGAAGCTACTCCCCCCTCCCCTTAGGTAGGAATTGAAAAAGAAGGGAAATGCTACATCTGTCTCCCTTTAAAGAGTGACTTCATTATTTTCAATGCTGTGGTGATCTTGAGCATCCTCGGCACTCTCCAATGTTTGATTGCTGTTATCGTCAGGGATCTCAGCTGAAACACGGACCTGGCTCTCCCTGCTTTCCATGCTCAGGTGGCTATCGCCTCTGACACCAGCCTTGCTATCATCTCGTTCTGCCTCATGGCTATCAAATTTCTGCTGGCTGTCGTTTTCCATGCTCCGGTCATGCTGCTTGCTGTCTGGCTCGCTGCTGTCCTCCCTGTGGCTCTTGTCAGCCCATTCCTCACTGATGGTGTGCTTCCCCAGGGAGCGGTGGGCAGCAGGATCCTCCCGGGAGAGCTCCGCTTGCTGGCTGTCTGCATCCAGGGCGCTCTCATCCTCCTCGGTGGGATCATACACGATGAGCTGTGTTAGAGAGCAAAGCGAGAAAGAGCCACTGTCACTCCTGAGGAGCTGATCTGTCAGCAACTGCTGCTGTACTGCACCAAAGCAAGCTGCATAGGTGCAGGGACGCTCAAAGCCTGCATGATACATCTCTGCCTGGAGACACCATGCTCTTTTACGAAGTTACATGAACCTTTCACGTTATGAGAAACTCAGGTTTGATCCTGGCCTCAGATTTCATGTGCGCCAGTACATGATGATAGTGCAAGTTGCCGTATTGCGTAGCTTGCAGCAGCAGGCTACTCTCCTGCCTCGGCACATTGACAGCCATCAACATCCCCTGATTTGGGGTATCCAGAGAAGGGAAATACATTCCTTCACTTATGCCTGCTTTTCCCTCACAGATCCTTTTCAAAACTGACTCCCATAAAATAACATGTCCATTTTCAAGTTCACTACCTTTTCCCAAAAACCTGGGTACCATTGCTCAGTGCTATTTACCTTTTTTGCAGCTTTGTGGAGTTTGCTAGGCTTCACCACTGTGGCTTTTGCCCTCACCCTGTAGGCCACGCTGTCACCTCTGCCAGCATTGTCTCCCCGGGTGAAAGGGAAAGGAGGGAAGGGTACAGTTACTGGAATGTCTGTGGGAAAACTCGTGACAACCTCATCGGATTCATCCGTGTCATTGGAATCATTGTCATCGTCGTCATCATCCATATTCTCATGGCCCTTGCTTGACACATCAGGAAAGTGCTGGAAAACATTTATTATGCATCAGGCAAATGAACATATATGTGAGATGTACAGACTGCTATCTGTCCTACTCACTCAGGGCTTATGCACTTCTGAGGAGCTACGTGCACAGATTGCTCTGAATTCTCCTCACCCTGCCTGAAGCTTTGTTTTATTTAGGGAGAGATATTACCACAAGAACTGCATTTGATTGAGGAAAATGAATACTGCTACACACTGGCTGCCCTGCAGCACTCAGCTGACATTTTGCTGTTCAAAACACTTACCGGTTGTACTGGAACATCCATGCTTTCTTCTGAAGAGTAAAGAGTCTGAAAACAAAATAAAACTCACTATTAGCACACAAAGGCCTATACAGTAGAGCTAATCAGCATGTTGAGTATTCTTCAAGCACTTAATCCTAACTTGCAAATCTTGGCATTGAAAGATGCTCTGCTTTCTCTTCCAGTTACTTGCCCGTACCTGCTGAGGTGATGCCAGGTCATTCTGTGGGTGCTGCAGACTCTCCCAAGACTGAGAATTCACGTGGTGGTGGCGGCGGTGGTGGTGATACCTGTGTGAGTGATGGCCCCTGGGATCCTTCAAGAGAAAGAAAAGGGAATTTTAATCCACAAAGGAGCATACAGGAGCAGGCAAAGCTGCTTGCATCACAACCTCTGTTTTCAGGCAGATGTGGCATCTGCAATACATCCTCCTTTTGTACTGGATGTGGCCTCAGCAATTCACTGCAGTAGTAAGAGGACTCAGAACAAGCTGTGATCCCAGATGAACATTATACCCAAACAATATAATACAGAAGATGTGCCTCTCCCACAAGGCAGAGCCTGAGAAATTTCAGATCAGTTTTATTGAGTGAAATCTGGAGTTATATCTAACGGCCATTGTTTCTGCTAATTCTCAGGTCCTTTTCCCAACAGTGATTTATCTCCCACACCATGAAGACTCTAAACTAAATGCAGTAGCTGATCCTCAGAGCAAAGAATTGATTTTACGTGGGTAGTAGCTGGCGATGGAATATAAATCGAATAGCTATATGCAAGACTAATACAGTTCACTCACACCACTCCAAAAAATAATGGGAATTTGATGAAAGTGCTCTTCCAACACCAAATACAGTAATCTGATCCATACTAATGAATGTGGGTTATAGTAGGTGTGCCATGCTATAGTCCTTTTTTCTTTTTAACTGGCAGCTTACACATTTTTCATTAAGAAAAAAGGTTTCCAGTGCTGGTCCAGAGATACAACTAAACTAAGTCCACAAGCAGAACACCTAACATGGCAAAAGTCTATGGACGTCAGTGGCTCTCTGCTTTGGCTACCTGAGAAACTGTCTCGTAACAGCCAGGTGAGGACATGTTCTGCTAGTAGCTACAATCGTAAAACAGGTGTCAGATTAGAGAAAAAAAAACAAAAAGGATTTATTAAAGAAAATTAATATAAAGACAAAAGGAGCTTACATATTTTTCTTCAGAGCTGGCAGAAATGGCATGCTGCTTGGATTTACTCACCTTGAAGTGAGAAAAGAGAAAATGCATTTGTCAGTATTAATTTCTTGCCCATATGCAAAGAAAATATGCAAGCGGTTGCTGGTATGCATTTGTGATTTACTCACTGGCCATGCAACAGTGATGCTCACGAGGCATAAACACAGAACTGCCACCTTCATTGTGATGTTTTACCTGGAAAATATTTTGGAACAGTGAGTCAACAAGGTAAAATACCACAAAAATGCCATGGGCTTTTTCTTTCTCCTTGTGTATTTCACCAGCTCTCTGTTAAGGATTCAACCTGCCCACACCGATCTTCCTCTGTCCTCCATCACCACCCCACACCCAGCTGGTTTTGTAATGACTTAGCAACTCAAAAGCTAGAGGAATTTTAAAACCAGGTACTGAGAAGTGCTGAGCAGTGATGAGAGTAGCCACGCTGAGAAGGCGAGCAGACTCCTTCTGTCATCTACTGATTTGCTCTGGCAAAAGAAAAGCTTTGTGTAAAACAAAGTGCTATAGAGATCAGCTTTGGTTTATCTTTGTTTATTTAATATCATTTTTGTCAGCAGAGACAGGACAAGACAAACTCAGCTTGGGTTCTCTCTTCAGTTATTTTAAAACTAGTTTTCAGGATTATTAACTGGAGTGACTGTGGGTAAACCCAGTTTATATGAACATAAACTGCTTTTATTCATAGACCTTTATTTCATAGACCTTTATTTCCACCCCTAGAAGTTTGAACAGAACAACCTGTGTTTCCAAGCAAGAGATGAAGTGAAATATCTGCTTACATTGCAGTTTTAGGAGTTTAATAAATGAGTGATTCCTGATGAAATTCAGAGAGTGCTGAGCTACCGTAAATTCTGCTGCTGACAGACCAATTCCCAGGATAAGGAAAATCCCTGAGAAATTAAACTGATTTACTGATGAACAAGAGGCATTTAAAACTTTAGTAAATCACAGCAGGAAAGAAAAGCTACTAAGGGCACATTTAAAATACATTAGTAAAGCTGGCCCTGAGAGAGGACACTCTATTAGAGGTATTGCAGTTTCAGGAGTTACACGGAGAAGATTGTGTGTCCCATCCATTCAGTAGTGTGCAGCGCAAACTGCAAGCCTGCCAGAAGAAACAGGGACACTGCCAGGCAGCAGGTACACGAGGGAGGAAGCTTTCTGTGTTCAAGTGCCAGCTTTGAGTTTCCAGCACTTGATTCAGTGGCAGGGTTTTCAGTAACCTCCTCCCGACATCTGTCAGCACATAGGTTTAAAATTGTGATTATGTATAATACCTTGCTTCGCTAAAGCAACCTTGCTCCTGTAAACGCACATCTTTTTCCGCAAAGAAACATCAAATGTCCCTGTCCAGTGAAGCAGTTTTCAAAGATCTCCTGCCCAACACTTCCTTGACTAACGCTGCAGACAGAAAGGCATATGTCAGGTAAAAAAGCAAAAAATTACCTTTTCTGGCGCTGGAGGAGTCAGCCGTGACAAGAGTGTTCTCAGTGATCCCAGCAGCAGCTCCAGCCAGTTGGGTCCCAGCAGCTCTGGCTTTCTCCCCTTGTCCCCTGACTGCCTGACATCTCCGATCTTGGGGAATTTAAACCCTGTCCCAGGCACGGCCACCAATCCCCATGTGGCGGAAAAAGATGAGGTCATGAGGCTCCTGGCCACCGTCCTGCCCACGTTCTCCTACACTTCCTCTTTGGCTTTGTGGTTTTTGAAGCAAACAAAAGCTACACTATGGTTAAAACATTACTTATGGGCAAGATCATTAACTAGCAGGTCTGTTGAATGCACAGCATTTGGTATCGTGTAGGAGGACTTCAGGGCACGTCTGTCCTCCTTTAGTGAAAAGACTTTTCCCAGAAACCTTTCATGCCCTTTTCTGTAGGGGGTAGGAATATGTAATGTGTGCAGGAAGAAAGATACCTGAACATAAAACTTCCCCAAAAGGTGTTAATGCTTCCACAAAGTTGTAGATTTGCTCTCCCGGGTATACTTGTTGCAACAGGAATTGCAAAGACAGGGTGCAGAATATGGCCCTTTTGCCTTTTTGGTCTGACCTTGATCAAAAAAAAAAACCAAAACAAAACAGTGTGTCTCAATATGCATTCTGCATCCAGAAATTTGTTTGTAAAGGTAGACAAGAGCCTCTGATAGTCTAATTAAAAAGGATTTGTGCACCATTATGAGAAATTCTCACTCCTTTTCTATTCATTTGTATCCCTTCTGGGTCCTTCCTAGTTTCATTCACTCTCTCAGGTGGTTCAGTTGAGTCACCTATGATAGCTGTCTGCTGCACCAAACCTGCTCCAGAACCCTTTTCAGGAATCAGATGCCAAATATTTATCAAGCTAAAACCAAAAAAAATTAGAAAAAAAAAGCAGCTATAGCTCCAGTATGAGGAGTGCCATGACTAGCATTGGGAAGCAAGGGACATGATGGGATGAAATTCCATGTCTGCTACGGAGCAATACATCGGCCCTGCTGATGGGCGACAGACCTATTCTGGCAGCGCCTCGCTTGGATGACCATAGCTTTGGATAGATTCTGCCCCATCTGTGATGTGCTGTAAGACTCTCAGACCCTTTTCCATTTAGTGTTTCTTTAAATGACAACGAGGTGTCATTCAAACACAGGAAAATATTCCAAACAGCCCTTTTAGAAGGCAGAATATTTAGAACTGTTTCAAAGCCGTTATCTTTCTCCTAATTTCTGATACCCAGCTAATGTTTGATGTGTCCTCAGTCAAGCAGCAAGGAAATAGGCACCTTGTTGTCCCAGCCCGTGTTACCAATTATCCTGTGCTTACTAACACTTCTGTGGCATGTTTAGAAACACCATGAGGAAGATACCCAAGTTAGCTCAGCAACTGCCCATCGCTTCATCACACAGACCTATCTAATTATATTTTTGAGCTGAGATTGGCAACAGCTAGAAGTTTAACTTAGTGTGCTTAATAGAGAATTCTAATACCCTAGCAGAACTGGATAAAATGATAGTGTATCCATTAATAGTTCTGCATGTCCATAAACCCATGTATGCATCCACCCAAATGAGGACTATCCTAGCTTTTATTTTTAGAGCTATGTGACCATTATTATCTACAAATTCAGGAAAGACTTTTCAAGCAAAAAAGCCTTCAGTATCTAGGATTTCAGCAGTGTGATCCTCAGCAGATTTATATAGTTTATATCATCTCCCATCATATCTGCAGCTCAGTCCTTCTGGAAACCAGACAGTTTACTGAAGCCCTTGATTGCAGATGCAGAACTTGAGCTGTAAGTGGGTGCTATTTAGAAGTTTCAGCTTGAGCATTATGTAGTAGCTGGTACATCCAGTTTATAATACATCACTATTACTTAGCAACTAGGACTGCTTTAAAAGCCCGCTGCTGTTGACTCCAGGGAACCCCAAACCAGGCCCTTAGGCAGCCGAGTACCTTTGATCCCCAACACCAATACAAATGAACAGCATAACCTCCAGCTCCCCTGATCTGACAGAGTGAGAAACTGAGACAGAGAGAAGCTCGGTGGTCACAGCACTGAATGTGGGACTGGGTATGCTGGGTCCTGCTCTCCTGTCCACACACTGGATCAAATTTTAAGCCTGCAAAAACCTACTTTCTCTACCAGCCATTCACCATGAGACAGGGAACTGAAAAATGACATTATACTGAAAGATCTCCAGGAGCTGTTGTCTGGCCAAAAGAAGAACCTTCCAGCACTTGCAATCTGCAAAATGGCATATGACTGTCTCTCAGACTTTCAGGAAAATACAGAATCACAGAACCGTTAGAGTAGATCTTTAAGATCATCAAGTCCAACCATCAACCCAACACCACCATGCCCGCTAAACCATGTCCTGAAGTGCCACATCCACATGTTTCTTGAATACTTCCAGTGACGGTGACTCCACCACCTCCCTGGGCAGCCTGTTCCAATGTTTGACCACTCTCTCAGTAAAGAAATATTTCCTAATATCTAGTCTACATATTATGTCAGGACTTGTAAACAACCTGTTTCACCAAGTTCAGCAGCTGTTATCAGTCACGCTGATGGAGGAGCCCAGAGCCATTAGAAACACAGTCTTCCTGCAGTTTGTTAAAGACCATCCTGTACAGGTCAGTTATCACTGTGGTTTTCCAAGGTAAATGTTTTGCAAGTACCTGGAACACTTGTCTCCCAGCAGAGACACTATATGACCCCCAGGGAGTTGTTTCTGGCAAACAACTTCTATTTCCAGTGTGCTGGGAGGTGGCAGCATTTCTGAGTGCCATTGCCAGAAGATATAGGGTTGATTTTGTAAGAACTGAGGAACAACAGTGATGTTTTGCAGTAATCCAGAAGCAGGACGTGAAACGACAGTTATTACTAAATGGCTTCATTTTATGCAAGATCAGCCAGTACAGAGCTGTAGTAAATTTAGCACTTGCCTCATGCCCGTCATTATGTGGTTATTCATCCTGTAAATCATTTCGTCTAGCTGAGAAATCCTTTGCCTTGGTAGGAGGTAGTGCTTCTCGTCCTCTCAGAGATGAGGAACAAGTGGGGCGGGAAGGGGGGAAACTTTCACCATTTTCACTTCCCACATGAAAATGCCTAATTCTGGAGAGAGCACTCGGCTGGCGGTGGCACAGCAGAAGCAACTTGCTCGAATTTGTACAAGTGGGAGGGTGCATGATTTCAGCTTTCAAGAGCTGTCAGGGTCTGTGTGGAGCACAACTGTGACAGGCTGTAATTTGTTGCACGTAGGTGACATTTTCTAGTTGGCTGTCCTGTCAAACAAAGCTTTTGACCACAATTTCTTCCATCTCGGGCTGCGTTAGGAACATGTGGTTAGGCTGCCGATTCGTGTCGTCAAGAAGTGCTATCAGTGCCTCCCTGTGCAACCTCCGACACGTACCTCAGATCCTGACCTGAGACATCAGCGTGATGCCCCGTGATACCTCTGGCCGCTGTGGCCCAGCCTGCCTGCAGTGACCTGTAATGCCCAATCTTTCAGGAGAGCTGGCTTTTGTTTGGATTTGTTCACCAGAAACCAAGTCTTGGGGGAGATCAAAGCAGCATCTTCTAGGGGGCAAAGACTAAGACTGGGAGAGATGAATTTCTTCAGCAGTGTTAAGAAAGCTATCAAGTAAAAGCCCCAAGAAACCCCAGCTTGGCAGTGTTCCTAA